ACTTATTTGGATCAAAGCCATATATGCAGAAGGTACTTGATTAAATCCAAGGATGTGTTTAAAAGGAATGGCAAACGCCTTTAAGGGCTACTCACAGGTAGAAAGTTAGGCAGATCACTGCATTGGGGAGAACAAAGGAAGAGAGAACAATGAGGAAAGACAGTCTAGGGAATTTGATAACATCTGGCCTAGGTGTGGTGTTTTGGAGATTGTCAGAGGGGAGATTCTTGCAGGAGAGATTCTTTGAGGAAATTTTTTTTTATAAGTAAATACATACTGTCAAATACTATACATTCTTCTCACAGATGTCTGTGACCTAGAAAGATGTTTTCAGAACAAAGCTAAGGGAATTGATTCTCTGCTGGAAAAAGATAAGAGAAAGGGCCATCATCTTAGTGACACTGCTTAGGGAAAAAAGCCCATTTTCTTTCCGGCTCTGATTATTTGGTTGTGTGTGAAATTTTAATACTAGTTAGTCCTGATCTAAAGAAAACAACTGCTAGTTAGTATCCTAAGTCTCACTCGCATTTACCTAAACTAACATGTACTTTTTTCTCGATCCTTCCTACGGATGACTACCCTTTCTATGGAAAAATTTAACATTTGCAGTGTAAATGATGCATCTCTCCCTTGTTTCCTTCATGGCTGAAAAAAGCATTGACCTCGTGAAGAACCCAGCAGTTTGTGCTCCCCTTCACTTCTCAGAATTTATGGTTTTTATATCCTGCTATGAATACATGAATCATACACCCTGTTGCAATGATTCTTACATCCTCTTAAAATTCAACAGGATATTTAAACCATTGTGCCTTATGGCACTCTTCATGTTTTGTTCCACCAGTTATTTCAGAGTGCTTTCATCTTGCATTTCCCTGAGAGTATGTATCATGAGGCAAAGGCAGTAATTACCCAGACAGACTCCAAGTGTTAAATGTTACTCAAACAAACCCAGTGCATGACATCCACAATAAAGAGCAGGGAAACAAAGAAATCGTAATGCTTCCTTCACATCCAACACCATCAGGAGAGCAGAAGGCACAAGGCAAAGCTGTAAGTATTTATAATCTCCCAGAGCTGTACGAAGAAAGTTCACATGAAACAGTTAAAGATGCCGCAAGGAAGCTCAGCACTTAACTGGATTTCTTTGGATCCTTGCTGTTTTGTGCAATTAAAAAGCCAAATGGAAAAATATGCTATACTAATCTTGATTTTAATAAAGTCTGGCTTGGAAGGTAGCTCTCCCGACATGTGGGGCCTCAACAACAATCCTACAAAGAAAACCTTTCTGGAGGAACTGTGGGGCTCACTTGGTTGATCCCAGGGGTGCAATCTCGGTAAGCCCTTAGAGTCTCTCCTGTGTTTGTGCCGCCCTGGGGACCATTTGGGACAGGGAGGAACCCAAACAGAGGCTCCCTGCTCTTGTAGAAAGAGAGGCAAAGAATACTGCATGTGGCATGGCTTGGACCATGCATAGGATTTCCTCTGCTGTATTCCAGCAATACTGTATATATACAGAGAAGGCAAGACAGGCTACCAGGTGCCTCCATAGAGAAATTTCATCCCTCAGTTCCTATCCAAGAACCTCGCTGAGGGTCAGTATCATTTTTGCCTCCCTGCAGTCCAAACTTTGTGTCATGGGGTTGTTTTATTTGTTTGCTTTTTTTTCCCCCTTCAAAATCATTTTTTCTCTTCTCCAGTTTCTGTGTACTGTGTATCCAACTACATTGCCACATCTGGCTCATCTCATACCCATTTATGTTCATGTCTTTTCCTTCTACAACTTTGTATAGTCCTGAGAAGAAAGGCCTCGATCTCATAGGTGTTTAATGATAATTATAACAAAAATGACATTCATCAAAGCGTTCTTAGGTGCTTGGTCATCTCAATTCTCTCAGTTCTGTGGTAGGATGGTAAAGAACTTGGGATCTTTGCAGACCACCTATGTTCGAAGCCTTTCATCCATGCTATCCGATATGTGTGTGTGTGTGTGTGTGTGTGTGTGTGTGTGTGTGTGTGTGTGTCTGTGTGTGCTCAAAGCAGGCAGGATTCAAATGATCTGACGGCCTCAATTCTATTCTGTCCTTATAGACACCTCTACAGATTTCATTGACTTAGAACTATTTGTCTGTGAGCCAAACTCATTGTTATTCCTTGTCACTGAAAAGTCCTACTTAAGTTTTGACTCAACATATTCAGATATTCAGAACACTAATGGCTCTAATTTTAACTGATTACACCAAGCATGCTAATTCTTTCTATTAGCCTGGCAGAGTAGTGCATGTGTTTAATCCCAGCACTGGGGAGGCAAAGGCAGGAGGATCTCTGAGTTTGAAGCCAGCCTGGTCTATGTAGTGAGTTCCAGGACAGCCAGGGCTACATAGTGAGACCCTGACTTGGAAAACAAACAAACAAACAAAAAAATCTCTTTTCAATATCTTCCAGTTTCAATCTTTTTGTATTAATGGCCTCCACAGTTCTCAGTGCCATCCTTGTCAGGTGAGCTGGGCAGCCTCATCTTCCCCATGAGGCAAGAGAAGCAGAATGACCCAGCATCCCGACAGCTGCAGAGCTACAACTTGACGCCTTGTTTTCCACGTCCGTCTGTAGGATTTTTGCCTCGACTTTACCCTTGGCACTGTTCACCTGTATGAGCAGGATGACTACACACCAAGGATCAGGCGCTGCACCCTTGATGGCTCAGGTTGTCGGTAACCATGGTAGTCATCGCTCCTTGTGGCAAATGAGATCACCTGGCGCACACTTACTCTCAAGATTTGAGCTGTAGGAGATGAGGCATTTTCCACAGAGGGCCATTAAGTCTGGAATTCCCCTCCCCTGGTCTGACAGAGCCCTGGAGGCTTGAGCTTCTGGATCTCTGCAAACCACATTAAGTTGAGCTTGACAGTCAGTCGAGCTTGGTAAGAAATCTTAATGGGCAGGAAGAAAGTAGTAAGTAGACTTTGAGTCCTGAGTAATTTCTGATTTTGTGGATTTCACTGTTTAGAACTCTTGAGACGAGCTACCTACCTAGCTGAATGTAATTCTCCTTGAGAAATACGACTTAAGTCTGCAGTTTGCAAGGTTGTTTCTGCGTTCTTACATCATATACAAATGATGTGGTGAAAAAGCCTATGGGGAAGTTTTTGTTTCTTTTGCATAAATTATTTTGCAGTAATTGATCAGCCACAGAGAAAACATTATCTCCTGTGCACTCAAAGTCAGTTCTTTGGTCACAAGAGACTAATAAGCCATGTCCCTGGAACTATTATCACTTTGTTGAAGAAGCTGCTATGTGAACAAAAAACAGCCTTTGTTAATTTCCCTTTAAGTATTTAAAAAATCTTGTCAGTATTTCCCCTCTGGGAGTATGTAATTTGTCAATAGCACATATTATTTCGGATACACAGAGGAAAGAAGCAGGTTGATATGACTTTATTTATTTTTTCCCATTGATCTTCACGTCAGATACATGTTTCTACTCAATAAAATCAGACTTTCCAATTTTATGTTGCTGAATTTTTTAATTATAGAAATAAAAAAATTGTCCAGTGAGGTGGCTTAGTGACTTGGCTGCTTGCAGCTAAGCGTGGTGGCCTGACTCAGATCCCAGAATGAGACCTATATGCTGGATGGAGAGCACCAATCCCTCAAGTTGTCCTCTGACCTCCATGCGCACACTGTGGCAGATACACACTCAAACAATGACTGTATGTACATATATGTGCATGTTCATTGTTTCAGCGCTGAGTATGGTGACACATGCTTTTACCCAGTCCTTGAGAGACAGGGACAGGTGGATCTCTGATCTCTGTGAGCTGCATAGTGAGTTCCAGGCCACTGAGGGTCTACATAGTGAGAATCTGTCTCAAAAAAATAGTTACGTGTGTGTGTGTATATACATATA